GTGTGTGTGTGTGTGTGTGTGTGTGTGTGTGTGTGTGTGTGTGTGTGTGTGTGTGTGTGTGTGTGTGTGTGTGTGTGTGTGTGTGTGTGTGTGTGTGTGTCAGGTGGCCACCACAGTGTTCACCCCCCTGGAGTACGGCTGTGTGGGTCTCTCTGAGGAAGAGGCTGAGGAGAGGCATGGGAAAGACGGCATCGAGGTGAGATAGCTGTGAAAAGTAGATTTCCCACTGTGAATGCTTCCAGGATGAATTAGTAGCATTTTGAATGAAATCCTTTAATATGTCCACACTTCAAGTTAAAACGCAATAGAGAAATGTGATTTATTCTGGTAGTTTCTTCTGACTTATTTACATTTGAACATGAATGAACTTTAACTACTATATAGAAGATATAGTAATAAAAGCAATTACATTTTAATTAAACACCAGAAAGCCCATATTGCATGTACCATCTTTTAATAATTGCCCACAATTTGGTGAAATTCTTTTAAACATTAAAGGTCCCATGTCATGGCCATTTTTACTGATCATAATTCCGTTGTTGAGGTCAACTAGAATAGATTTATATTGTGCAATTTTCCAAACTCACATTGGTTTCTCATACAGCATCTCTGTATAGTATGTGTATTCACTCTCTGTCCTAAACGGCTTGTCGGAGCTCCTGCCCCCCCTCCGAGCCCACTGTGCTCTGATTGGTCAGCTCGCCCTCTCTGTTCTGATGAGATCACCACCGTTACAGCTGAACATCAGTGATTATGTGTTACAATGGCGTTTGTTAGCAACCAGAAAATGACACCAGTAAGGACAAACAGATGAGAATGCTGCGTGGGGTCTGGGTGCCGGGACGTTGCGGGGCTCGCTGCTGGAGCGGACAGTGTGAGCTGGGTTCATTTCCTGCTCGCTGCGTGGGGTCTGCGAGACAGCGAGTCATCGCTAATGGACGCGGGAAGGGGGGTATGCTGAGGGGGTTGCAGCACCCCCATATGCGAGGCTCCACTAGCACCCTAACCCCCCCCCCGCACCCCCAAACGCGGCGCACGAGGCTCCACTAACAATGACATGGAGCCTTTAAACAAAAATATTTTCATAGTTGTTGAGATGGGATATGTGGTTTTTTGTCTTTTTTTATTGGTTAATATTGTAAAGTCAACATAAGTGATTGGTGGAACATTTGAATTGTATTTAAAAATATGTGTTAAAGGGTACTATGTATCTACTTTAAGGCCCTCAATTTACTTATTGTGACGTTGAATCTACTAATCTGTAGAATGAAATATGTCTCTATTAAGAAAGGACCCACTTCCTCTAATATAACAACACAGAACTGCTGAGCATTGATCCATAAGTGTAACTTTTACTTTATTAAATCATGTCTTTAGACCTTTTACTATTCGGCTGCATGCCACACATACACAAATATATTTACAAAGCCAGTGTTAGTGGCCACAACCTGCATCAAAAACACAATGTCCCATAACCACTAAACAAACATTGACACACACAAAGGCCACAGCAAGCAGCTCCGTACTTCAGGAGCTTGTGTACGTGAGCGCTGTGCCAGATGCTCGCCAACACCTGCAGGAGGCCGAGGATAAACGGTTTGGGCTGTGAGTGGCAGGCGAGCAGGAGGCCTGATGGAGGTGTGTGTGTGTGGCGATGACAGGAGCTAAGATCTGAGGAGGAGCCGCAGCACCGGCCCCCGACAGCTGCACGGCCCTCACAACTTGTGTCGGCACGTCCACGCGGAGAATTAAACACACACACACCTCACACAGAATAAAACACACACCTCACACTCGTCGTTGGGTTAGGAATCAATCACCGTCACGAGCAAGCATTGATGCTCTCATTCTGATACAGTGGTTTGGATACGTGTTCATAAGACAGAGCTGAATCAAATGATATTTCTCTTGCACAGTTTACGTTTGTTTGTCCTTAGAAAATGGTATGTTACATTGTTTGGAGGAGCCTAGGACTTTTTCAAAATTGTCCAGATCTGTTGCCATAACTACTACCTAATCTTAGATGTATTTAATAGTGTTGTCTCAATCTATATACAGTAAGACACAATAAGCTATTAAGTGGCTCCTAAAAAAGTGAATACATTACCTTGCTAAATATACACCAGAAGAGATCATGACTGCTGAAAACTATAATTGTTTACCTTTGTACATTCTCATAATGTGCAAAATTGGTTGGAGATGTAAAGACCACAATTACACAATCTATACTATTTCTACTGTTAATATGATGTATGTTCTGTTTTGCTGTCTGCAGGTCTACCATGCTTTCTACAAGCCTCTGGAGTTCTCTGTTGCAGAGCGCGATGCCAGCCAGTGTTACTTAAAGGTCAAGTTAAACTGCACACCAAACTGTACAGGGATGGGGATTTTTCGCATTTTATACACTATATAAATAATATACTCCTGCAGTCCGGTTTGAACAACTCTTTGAAGGGCTCAATTAGTCAAATAGTTTGAAAGGTTGAACGTGATCCTGACCATTTTTTATTCGTCCATCTGTGTCCAACCTTGAGGATTTCTTTCTTCATTTGAGGCTAAAAGCATTTCTGCTTATCTCTTATGTCATTTTTACACTTTGTCACACTCTGCACCTCTGGTAGTGTCTACTGTTTTTAAATGTTGATTTTTAACTATGTTTTCTCTGTTTAATGGATTGTCTAGTTGTCATTTGTTTGTGTGTTAATGCTCATGTAAAGATCTTTGAATTGCCTTTGTGTCTGAAATGTGCGTTATTAAAAAAAAAAACATAACCATTAGGCAGCTCTGGGATTTACTGGCGCTTTCACACCGGACTACTTTTCCCAGTATAGTTCCGATAGTTCGTGAAATGTTGCGTTCACACCAAAAAATTTCGGAACTAGAACTTAGTTCATGAGAACCTTTTTAGTCCCTGCTAGAGAGCAGGTACTTTCATGGGAGAAAAAGGTTCCCGTTTCTGATTGGCTGGGTGCACCACGCCCCGTAAAACTCGGCCGCCATTTTATTTGCTAGCATTATTAGCATTAGCATTAGCCCAGCGCACCAACGCAGAGAGAATAACATATGGCAATACAAAAGAAAACATGGGAGCTGCGGGGACTTCCGGCCGGGGACTTCGGGTGGCAGTATACGCCGTGAAGTTTTTTGCGGCCTGCCAGTAAACCCAAAGCAGAAGAAGAAGAAGTGACGTCAGCGGCTTCATTTCTCTAATCCTCCCTCAGGGACTTATTCCAGTGTGAACGCGATCTGCTCTTTAGTTCATCAGAACTTAAGAGTTCTGGTAACTAAGTACGGCAAAGTACTCGGTGGGAAAGCGCCTACTGTCCCTGCTCGTTGGTTATTTTGCCGATGAAACTTCAGCTCCTTGTTTTAACTCAGTGTTTTTCCTCCACAGGTGGTGTGTGAGCGGGGGGGAGACCAGAAGATCCTGGGTCTGCACTTCACCGGTCCGAACGCAGGAGAGGTCACACAGGGCTTCGCTTTGGGCCTCCAGTAAGTTTAACTCATCCTAAATTTGACATGTTTTATCCATTTAAGGCTCGATGGAACAGCCCTCCAAGTAATGATGGTGTTGAGTTGATTTATTAGTCAGCAAGATTTCCAGAATGAAATATTTATCTAGGTTTTGGATGATTTCTTCTCCGTCAACAGTCATGCATTCTCGAAGAGACATATTTCAGTTTCTTTACTACAACAAATCTTTAAAATGTAAGACACCAAATCAGAATACAGTTTTAAGTTAGTTTTAGTTTAGTATTAGATGTGAAACTCTTACTTTTCGCCGTATAATGGGATGTCGAGAGTGAATGAGTAAAGTGCATCACTGAGAGAGCAGATAAAGTAGCCATTTTACAAGAATTGTTCTCATAATATAAAATACTTTTAAAGTTGTAATACATACTCTATGATCAGAATTTGCCTGAATATTTATCACTCCCAGTAAACTTTACAAAACACCCAAAAGTACTGTGTGTGTCTTCAGGACCAGTTT